GGGAAACCCCCTTTTAGTGATTTTTAAAGAAGGGAATGAAAGTTTCTGCAGTTTTCTCAATAACCTGGTAGCCTTTTCTACTCTCATTAATTCATCCAGAAGGTATTTTAATGCCAAATTATATTACTTTTGTAAACATAAACGTATTTATAATTTATGAAAATAAATAACAAATTGAAATATAAAATTTACTCGACAATTTATCATTTTATTCTCTAGTCTAGAATCATTTCAATCGATTGACACTCGTCGCCTGGATATTCTAGTAAAAACTGGCATTTACATTAAGTATATTATTAGAGATTTTCTAATATTGTCTCGACAATTATTGTTATACCTTTTAAATATAACCCAATATAACATTAAAATACATTTATAAATTAATTTTTATAGCTGATAAATACATCTAATCGAGGGATGAAGAAATATATTTAAAGTTTTTCGTGGAATTGATCAATTCAAAATTACTCCCCCCCCCGAAAGGTATTAGTCTATCGCTAACAGGAAAAGTGTGATGTACAGGGGTAAGCCACTAGTAATTTGAGATGGAGGGCATATATTTTAAATTAAACTATTAACTTTTATTATTTTCTTATACCGTTAGAATAACTAGATCAGTGTTTTTCAACCTTCTTGAATACGCGACCCCTTTACAAGTTAAAAAATTCTGGCGACCCCCCCAGGGCCATATTAAAACTATATCAGTAATTTTCTTTCCTTAAATATCGATCGAAAAACCAATTGTACTGTAAAATAAACAGGCACAGCCTTCTCACTGAAATTCTAGTTGTTTTTATTGTAGTGTAGGACCTACAAACACTTGTCTTTTTCTTTCACCCGCGACCCCCATGTTAAGCTTTGCGACCCCCCTGGGGGTCGCGACCCACAGGTTGAAAAACACTGAACTAGATAACCGATTAAAGCATTTGAAGATTGGTCATTGGAGATGTTTTCTATCTTTTTACTAGAATTAAAGAAAGAAATTAGTCTACGTATCGAAAAGAAAAGTTAAATAGGACAAAAGAAACTATAAAATTTTGTTTATTTAATTTTTGTGTGTAATTTAAAAGTAAGCGGAGTCATTTATCACATTACTTTTATCGTTGTCAACAAAGTTTTTCCCCCTTCGCCACTAATTCTTTTCTTTCTTTTTCTCTCTTCCAGACACGGTACTTACTTATACTTTTTAAATTACATTTATCATCGAGTTAAATATAAATTCCGACAAGTGTTTAACATTGACATTTATAAACTAAGGTAGTATTATTTGGAAATCTTTTCAAAAATTTGTCAAACAAAAAATATTCCAATTAAAAATAATAAATGAAATTTTACTTTAAAAATAGAACAAGATCGCAGTTAAAACGATTTTAAAGGAAAATAAAAATCGATTTTTAAATTGACTTTATTTTAAAATTCTTTAAACTTTTTTATATTTAATATAATAAAAATACAGTAATAAATATATTTTCTAGTCAAATATAAATCTCTATCGAACACCTCGAGCTACTTTCTCATTTAATAAGGCTTTTATAATTTATATTTTACGTGTCGATACGATATTTTTATTCTTTTAATATAATTATATTATATTTTATAGGAAAGTAATAGTGTCGTCGTATTATATAACGACGTATTAAATCGCTATCATTTGACTAATTCTAATCCTACGATTGAATTCGCATTGAACGATTATTCTTGTTGACGAATTATATTAAGCTGATTTATACGAGTTTAGTTAAAATTAATTTTCTATTTGTATTTATATCTTAAAATCTGTTTACGTACGCTGGCGTGAAGCCGTCTCAATATAGTTATATTGATATATTCGTCGTCTTACTCCCTCGTTCCCTTCTCTTCGTCACCGTCACAATGAAAATCTAGTCGATTGTCTGTTATATATAACAGAGGAAAGTATGGCCAGAGGTCAAAAAATGACCCCACCCCCAATATCTTTGGACTCGGGGACGTTCATACGTCGAGGAATGTAAAAAATTGGGGGTTTCTTCTGTGTGTATGGGGTCATCCCGTTTAAAGCTTAGTAACTCCTGTGCTTTTTGTTAATAATTTATAATAATATACAGCCGTTTAGTTGGATTATTTTTATCCGGAATGTCTTTAAACGATGTTATTTGCGTATCGCTTCTATTATAATCTCGTGTATATTTTAGAAAGGAGGAGGGGGGAAAATAAAAATATCCTTCTTGTGTTTTTTTCTACTTCAAAAACCGTCCACTCGACAGAATTTTTTTTTGAAATTCTCGAGGTAAATTCCATTTTGAGCAATCGAATAAAATGGGACAAAATGATTTTATGGAGTAAAAGCTGTCGTCCATCCATTCCATTTTAAATAGCAAAGGTAAATATTATTAGAGCAAAGGAAAGAGGAATAAAACTCAAACGAGCTTCTTTATTCATTCAAAGCTAAGCTTAATTATCATTCTCCTTTCATTTTAATATATTATATATACAAATTTTACTATTATCTGAACAAATTGTTAATGGCACGACAAACAATTCGATTGTCAACCCTCTTCTTCTCTCAATTGTTATATTTTATTTTTATTTTTATTTTCCGTATCGGTTCGTTCGTACTTTCGACCCTATTTACCAATTTATAATGCTTTAAAAAGAGATTTAAAAAAAAAAAACTTTTATTACAGCGAAACTTCTACAATACAGTATAATAAAGGGCAGATTCGCAGAGTACTATAATAAAATCCTCAATGGCGATTTTATAGAGAGATTACGTGGATTAAATTGCCAAATTTGGAATTCATTTATACGTCGTTCTCTCTTCCATTATCGTCTTCGCTGATGTCGATAGTAAAATTTGATTTTTTTTTAAAAATCAAATTTATTACTTCCAACCCCGACTGGTAAACCTTACACACAACATACACACATACACATATATAATTATTTTTTTAAAATATATTTTAAGGTATTTTTAAGCAAAATATTTATGGAATTAACGCGATTGTTTCTCTATATCTAGCGAATTTAATTGATTACGATAGATTGTAAAGTATTAAGTCGATAGATTAAATTACAAGAAAACGGAAATTTAAATTTTAATTGTTTCCCGAATGTGTTTATTTAATTAATAAGTCGGTGGCAAACAACATCCTCGACTTTATTAGACATGGGAGAACGACGAAATTATCTTTCCAATTCTTTTGTTACTTATACGTAGAGGTTCAAAGGTCAATCTTTTAAACACTTAACTGGATTTCAACCCACAGAATTCGGCTTTATTTACTTTAGCATTTTAACATTTAAAAAAATGTCAAAAATCTCGTGCATCACACCCACAACGTTCGTTAAATGAGACGAAGAATTAATAAATATTAAAAAGAATTTATTTATTTATTTATTTAATTGAGAATTGGAAGCTTTTAAAAGTTAGAAAATTCTTTTCTCGACTCTTAATGGGTGACATTGTTTTAGTTTTATCCGAAAAGAATTTTGATGTCGAGGAAGCACTCAGAACGTCATCTTCAGTTTAGAAAATTGTCTTTACTCCAGCAACGAGCGAGTGTCGAGTATGAATGACAAATTTGTAGACGAATTTTATAAAGTTATCGAATAAAAGGAAAGATAAACATCGCCCATTCGAGTGTTCTAACTTTTAATTTTCCAGAAAATTCAAGTAAAATCGACTCTTTCCTTTTTTTTTTTGGCCGAAAAAAACAACGAATGTAATCTTTTCTATGGCCGAAAATAACCAAATTTAAATATAAAATCGGCCTTGACCTAAAGATGAGAAAGAAAAACATAAAATAAAATAATGTTTTAACGAGGATGAAATTTCAAACTTTCCCTTTTGACATTTTCATCGAATTGACTTTCAAACTTTTATATCCTTGACACGGTGGAAATATATCTTATTTATAGTATATTTCTTTCTTTTTTTTTAAAACAAAACACAATTAGAGACGACGATTTTATCTAGGAAAATGTCGTAACATTTGGAAGGTCGACTAGTAAAAGGGATAAAATTGTTTCATTTCCGGACTTACCCCGCTTCGTTTCGATTGTAACTTAAGTACTAATCGGTGGGATTTCCTTTTTCTTAATTGAGAAAATAATTAAAAAGTTAGACGGTGAATAAACTATTGTAAAAATAGTTTTCGAATTCGGATAATTAAGACCTTTCCAGTGTATAAAAAAGACGTTAAATGACGTCTCTTCCATTTCCAGAATAAAAAAATGAATTGAGACGTGTCTTATTGTGTTTATACCAATGATTTTCGTTGTAGCTAATTTCACTTCCATTGTTTTTCTAATACGAAATAATACAGAGGTTGCGGCCGAAGTTTTCATCTGTACGTGAACGTCGAACGTCGAGCGCCGCTTTGTAAGCGGCGCTCGACGTTCGACGTTCACGTACAGATGAAAACTTCGGCCTCAACTTCTGTATTATAACGAAGGGTGCCGGCGATAAACTAATCGATTTACGGAGATAAAAATCGTAGACGATAACGAGCCGATTAGGAGGGAGAAGTATTCGTATTTAGTGTTAAAGGAATTCAAACTACGCCGGGAGAATAAATAATAATCAATGAATGGCGACGATTTTGCACCTGGTGACATCGACGTCGATCGGAAACACCAAACTATAAATAGTAGAGGGGGGATCGTCAAAGATGGCATTCGCTCTACTCCGTTGCCATGGTAATTACCGATAGAATGAATCGAATAAAATGAATGATTGTTTACTTCTCTCACTCTACGCTAATAATGGACTAAAGTGTCTGATATTGGATACGTAAAATTTGTTACGATTTATCGCCGATACCCGTCGAATTACTCGACGTTTTTACTATTCGATTGAGGAAAAATCTCAATCGATTTAATTGTAGTTTCGATACCGAAATCGAGAAAAGAAAAGTTTCTCGCCATGTTGTCGTGGCCGTTAATTCGAAATTTAGATGTGGGAGTGAAAATCCGGTGATGTACTTGCGGATGTTGCTGTCCACGTGACTTGCGCCAGCGGCATCGCTTCCTATTAGAACGTCAGCGCCTTGTGATGAAGCAGGATGTTGCAGAAGACGTAGGTTACAACACACAAAAGAAGCATTTCTAACAGGTAAATGATGACGTTTTTTGTACGTCAGATATTACTTTAATCGTAGATTATCTTACGACTCTCTTTATACGTTGACAACGGTTTAATTATCAGATATCTTTTTTTATTATACCGAAGATATATATTCGTCGTTAGTCAATGGTATTTTATGGCTACAGTTCTAATTGGTGGAGAGTAATACGAATTTTATTAATTGTTATTATTAAAATAAGCGAACGGGAGATTTGTTTAAGGGGGATATTAATACAATATGTTAAGAGTAAATTATTTAAATATGGTCGAATTCTTTTCAAGTGTTTGTTGTTTATTTTATAAAATTTCGAGTCCTTATTCCGGTTTTAATTTAACTCGATTAAGTCGATATTTAAGCTACAGTATATTAACTGTCTATTGTTTAGTTACAGAGGATTTAAAAAAAATGGAGGTATCCAATAACCAACGCTTGGTATTCGTGAATAAACCGAAGAAGGTGTTCCTCCCTCGTGATTCTCCATCACCCACCACTCCTCGGAGGCCTTGCTTGACCCGCGTGGGCACTTCTGCGGATACGGACGGAATCACACCCAAAGCTCACTACCGTTTGGTAATTTTGGGGGCGGAAAAGGTGGGGAAAACGGCCATCATTCATCAGTTCCTGTACGATCGCTTCGTGACGGATTACAGCGCAACCGTGGAAGAATTGCATCGCGGGGAGTACGAGATCGGAGATTACAAACTGACCTTGGACATTTTGGACACCAGCGGATCGTACGAGTTTCCGGCCATGAGACGTTTGGCCATAGGCACCGGCGACGCTTTCGTTTTGGTGTATTCTATCGATAATCAGGAATCGTTCGAAGAAATACGTAACATCAGACAGGAACTGAACGAGCAGAGACCCACGGGAGCCCCTATGGTAGTCGTGGGCAACAAGTGCGACCTGGAACACCAGCGAGTGGTGCAGAAGGAGTTGGCGGAGACTATGGCATGCATAGATTGGGAGAACGGATTCGTCGAATGTTCCGCCAAAACGGGGCACAACGTCTTGACCATCTTTAACGAACTTCTGGTGCAGGCCAACGTCAAGTATCGTCTGAATCCCGTGGTGCAGAGGCGAAGAATGTCACTACCCGTCAATCCCCGACTACCGGGTGGAAAGAGCAAGACGGGAAAAAGGAACAGTTGCGCCGTTTCCTAAAAGTTTCTCTTCTCTCGATGCTTTCTATCCTCGATTTCCGATGTCGTTTCCTCTTTTTTCGTGCCATTTCCTCTTCTTTCACTAGAAAATTGTATTTATGATATGTTCGTAGCAATAATAATTGTATCTGATCCAACGTTTTGGCTTTATTCCGAAGAAACACTCGAAAAATCCACCATACAAAGTGACGTTTCCATCGTTTTCACCAAACGACAAAACAAACTTCACGCCAAGTCTTAATTAGTCTTTCCATAATTTTTAAATTACTTGGTAGCCATTTTTACCACGAATTTATCTTAAACGAAAGCTCAATTAGGGAAACGAATGGAAACCGATAAATCAACTTCTTAAAATTGGGGGGGTGAATAAAAGATTGAATCGTTTGTCGACGTTTGCCACTTGAAAATAAATATTGACAGAAGCGATCGTCCTTGATATTTAAATATATCATTCACTCCGGGAAACGTTCGACTCCAAAGAAATAAAAAAAGGATTTCTACTTCATCACATTTCCATTCTCCTATTTGGCCTCTACGCTCTTCTACGTAAACTCTATTTAAAAAATATAATCCCCGTAATTGTACCGAAAACAATTTTAGAAGGCGCATTCCCTTCGTTTGTCTCGTAATTATTCGAGCGAAGAATAATTAGAACCCATCCAAATTAACGTAAACCAATTAAATTAATTTTTAAAATGCATTTAAACAGATATTAATCCAAAACGGAAGAGAAGTAATGATGCGTTAAGAGAGGCAATCTTCAATTAGTCTCTTGTCATTGGCAGATGTCCACCCCTCCGCGCGCGACACGCGAATCGTCTAAATGTTTACCACAAAAAAAGTATTGGCCGGTTTAATGGCTTTTTCTACTATCTTCGTAACCATTCTAATTGACTTTAGAGCGAATTTCTCGGGGATAAACAACCGGAGCAATCGATACAATCTACAAAAGCACACGTGACTAAAACAATACAAACTACCAATTTTAGAAGTATCCACGTTATCAAGCGCTCCGTCGAGTGCATCGTCTAGATTATAATAAATTCTTGGGTTTAATATTCGGAAGTACACAACTGTGCCATTCATTTTCCGCTCTATCCGATGGCACACGTCATCGGCACTTAATATACGGATCGTTTCCGTAATGTAAAACAGATAAGGAAATAAGTTAACTGTCGAATTAAACCATTCCATTTTCTATTTTCGGAATTCGACTCGGAGTTAAACGGAAATCTGCCAATTTAATCATAGTAATAGGCCAGACACAAAGACGTTTCCATTTTTTAACGGACGGAAAATAAATCACGGTAAGTAAAAAGTAAACGTACGGATAGAAAGAAAAATATACGGGGTCGAAGGTCACCAACCCGCATATTTCTTTCGCTCCGGCACGTTTAATGAACTTGCGCGTTAAATTAATTCGTTTTTCATTTATTTAGTTAACCGCGCGGCACGTTGCATTATTTATGGAGTGAGCGCGTGAGATCAGAAGCACCCGTACATCGGGGCACGTGCCCACCCTTTTCCTAATCCCCGAGGGGGACTGAAACGACGGAAAATTCGCGATTTCTAGCCTATATAAAAGAAATTTGTCAAGTTGGCCCCGAGTGCATCTTGTGGGAGCGCCAATCCGACGTTGAATTGTAAAATTTGAAGCTCCTCGCATAATATACCGTGCCCTTTTTCATAGTCTGCCGGTGCCACTGCTCGAGACGGATGACTCTTCTAACTGCTAATCTAAATATATGGGACGAAAGTATCGTCTATGACTATTTAAATAAATAAACAAAAGATTTAGGTGACGTCTCGCGACGACATCCGTTCTATTCTTTATTTAAGAATTCAGTCGCCATTTCGGACCCACTTTACGTTCGACGGCAACGGAGGAATTAGGCGGAAGGTTTTAAAACTTTGTTCTCTACAGGGCAACTGTCTAACAATAGTTTTCTTTGTATAAACACATCGTCCGTTCCTTTGATTTTGTCGACATACGGAAATAGTCAAACGAAATGTATTTTCCCACACACCGGAAGAAATCTAAGACGTTACGTAACACAGGTTACGTATTCCGAGTGACGACATATTCTAACAATAACGTCGAGAGTAAAGCCGCAATGCCGACCCGAGTGAAAAACTCAATGTAGAAATATCATTACGTAAGTCTATAATTAGTAATATTAAGTGGAGAAATACTATTTTCTAACATTAAGTAGATGGGCGTGAAACACAATTAGGAAATTTTTACGCAACTTTCGAAATTTCATGTCCTGCCGCTAGTCGACGATGGAGCGTAAACGAATATTACAAACACGGGAAATACAGTATTTACAAGGCGATTAGTGGCGCTACGATCGAGGCTAGAAGAGAAAAATTAAGGCCATTCTAATGTTAAATCCGACATTTTCTAATTTATAAGAATTCCCATTTAATTATAATACGTAGATTTTAATTAAGCCACCGCAATTGTCCTAGATTATGCGGTGACTAATCGATCCGCGGAAGGCCAAAGCCCGTTTCTTAAAGGTCCCAGTTTAATTGGAGGCCCGAAATCGGAATAAAATATATATATATATATATATTTCCGCCATTTGCCAATTAATCGCAATAATTCCGGGAAATATCCCTAAATCTAGTAGGAATATAATTCCCATCGATCGCGGATTCGATAAAGGAAATATAACGCTACGGGCGTTTTATTTTTCGCATCGATTGGAAAAAAAGATTCGGAACATGGCAGCATCTTTGACAAATAAATAGCCACTTAAATACGTAAAATTCCCAGAATATTCGTCCAATACTTTCCGCTCGAATTTCTTAAAATGGCGCATCCCACCGCTCCGGAGGGGTGGAGATAAAAAAAAAAAAAACAATACGCAATTTCGGGACGAGGAATTATTAATAAAACCGGCGCGCGAAGCGTTAAATCCGGGTAGGAACCAACCGCGCTACTAAATTTTTACGCGTAACGAGGGTGGGTCGTATTATCGAACGGTATTCGATCGTTAAACTCGCCACCCACGCTCGTTTGTGTACCGTAAAGGTCAGAATACTCTTCTGTTAGAGTCGACTCGGACGTTAACTACGACCAGAAACACGTTTATCGCTATTTAATTGTGAAAAATTATCGAGGATCCGGTAAGAATTTTAGTAAATAAACTCGAGGCAAAAATGCCACTTTTTTTTTTTTAGTATTTCGGACTTGAAGTGGGGTGGTTAATCTCGGCAACTTCTACTTTAATAACGTCGCGCCGGTTATTACGTCCGGTTTAATTAAAATTTTGGCCGAGTGGAAATACTAGAAACCAGTCGGCCTGGCCATATTTAGAATTAATTAACGATTAAAAGTAGTTTCCATCATTTTTACATAAAATATTAAGTTCTTTCGTCGTTGATGAATTTATGAATCTAATTAATCGAAATTTCTACCTCGACTTCTTTAGTAAAGAATATTCCGGCGTAAAATACTATAGAATAAAAGCGTTTTCTACTCGTCCGAGTGTATAGAAAATTTTAATTCTCTATAATTTTTAAACGTCGATTATGGCGCGATTACGTCACACTATAAGCATTGATTCAAATTGCCTAGTTGGATAAGAGACCGGTTAAAATATTGGATTATCTCTTATTGAATTAGAAAGCGGAAAATGCCGGAAAGCAGAAAATGTCGGAAGGGAAAAAAAAAATCTAATTTAAAATTAACGATGTTTTTTAATCCGAAAACAAAAGATAAATTGAAATTAAGTTTTTTCCTTTCTTAAATTTATCAATAAAATATATCCGAATTAAATTTNTAAGCGGCGCTCGACGTTCGACGTTCACGTTTGACGGATGAAAACTTCGGCCGCAACCTCTCAAAAATTTATTTAATATACGAAAAACGTGTAATTATTATTGTGTAGATATAGAGTTTTATGTACAGAAGAAAAAACTGCGACTTATAAATTCATTTTCAAACATTTTATTCAACTGGTAATGTCTTAAATAATTAAAGTTAAAAGCGAATAGCAGCAGTTTTATATATAATAACTTTATATACACACTGGCAAATTCTCGGTAACTTGTCACTAAAATTTCGTCACGGTGCAACATATAAAGTATTCCCTGGCATTTAACAGTTCTTGCAGGTTTTTTTTTCCTGACAAAAATTCGTGCACGATCGATAATATTTATATGTAAAAAAAATATGAACCAGTTTTGTATTCCAATAAGTTTGGATTTAAAAAAATCTATTACTTAAAGGCAACAGCCAAATTATTGGAATACGTTGGTGACGAAGAACCGTCGTGAAGACACCCGAACAAATCGAAACAAATAATTTAAACGTGAGACCACACATTTTCGGATTTAAAAAAAGGGTCTATAAACGTCTATTGAAATATCTAAAATTTGCCATAATCGTTTCATTTCGAATTCAAAAGACGGTCCGTCTATCATAAAAATATGGAACTAGGAATCGTCATTTCTTTTTTATGAAATGGCACGGATAATCGGTTTGTTAATAAATACGATTATTCGTGGTAACGTCCGATATGTTTTACGATATATCGGTTGAGTTTTCGCACGAAAAGGTGAAGTCCTTCGAGAGTATCGTGACATCACAACCGGTCACGGAATCACAGCAAACTTTTGTACGGGTTTCGAGGGCAATTATCACAATAATTATCACTAATAATAATCTTCGGAATTTTTCCACTCGTAAGAATAACGTGAGATCACGAATTATTTTTATGTTTAACTTCGAGTAATTGAGGATAGTTTTCCATGATATTTAACAAAATTCCGTCGATGTAAGCGCGTAATTTTGCGTTCACTTCCTGCTGTTCACGAAGAGCGGTCATTACCTAAAATATTCAAATTATTCAAATTACATCGTAGTTTCGTAAGTATTTAAGTTACAAATTAAGAAATTTCCATAATTTAAAATACAGTATAATAATTTTAACGAGAATTGGCGAATACGGCCTATTAATTATCTTAAATTATAATTTTTACAAGCGTATTAAAGAAATATCCTTTCTAATATTAATTTCGGAATATTTATTAACATAAAATTAGGTCATTTCTAGCAACGAATTTAATATAAATCGTTCTCGTTAAAGAAAAGCTTACTTCGTCTTTGGAGAGATTTTCTAATTCTTCGGCCAAAGACGTGGCGGCTTCTTGTCGAAGTAAACTTTGACCCTGTTTTATACCGGAACTTAAAATTTGTGCCTGTAATTCTTCGTTGGCTTCGCGAAGAGCAGAGTTTTCCTGAAAACATAAATGTATAAACTATATTTACTTAACAAATACAATAAATAATTCTACAGTTTACATTAAAAAAAAAGTCAAAATATAAAAACTGCAGGCTATAATATCAATGGATTTCCTTTATGCCACTATATGCAATAAGCATATAGTGAAAACAAAACAAAATTTACCACCCAAACTCAATTCAAATGAGTTTTGTTGGTGATTAAAAAAAACTAGGACTCATCCCAAAGATGGATAATCGACTTTGGGCTGACCAGCTAAGTTCTTCCACCCGCATGTCTTCAAACCGCGCGCTAAGGACTTTGCTTTGTGAGCAAATGTGTTGTCCTGTTGATACTTAAAAGGGTGTTTCGTGTATCGGGGAGCATTTTGTCTATAATTAAGTCATATAATATATTTTGTCAGTTTGCGGTCAGCCTTAAGAATAAATAATAATTAAAACCTTATTAGCATTTATAATTTCTTTTAAAAACTCACTCCAAATCCCAAAAATAAGTAATTGCCTTTTTATAATAATCGATAATATGAGATTTTTTAAAAATATTTTATTAACATATAGTGCTATACATCACTCATAATTTATACTTAAAGTTAGAATATGGGGAAACTCCTGCAAATTTTTTTAAAGTCCTTGCCAGCTTTTTAGTATATCATCAGACTAAAATTGAATTTGCCTGTTGTAATGTCCCGTTAATTTTATATTTATTATGAACTAATAAAAAAAAACTCCTTGAACAATAAATTTGATGGTTAAGTTGAAAACTATCATCAAAAAAATTTTCAAATAATCAATTTTATTAGGATATTTAAGTAACAAATGCCATAAAATAGATAATGTTGAGCAACTTTTCATGCTTTTCTGTATATAAAAACTGTCCTATTATTTATATTATGAGAACATTTTATTTTTCTTCTATACTTTTATCTTTATTAGAAGTCTCTGTGGATTATTTATTTTTAAACAAACAATACAATATGTATATATATTCTATAAAATCATTGTCATCACAAATCATTATGATTAATTTATTTATTATAGTTTCATTCCTTGTAATTTTGTAATGAATGAATCAAATATGATTACATTTATTGTCTTATATATTTGTTTGCTAGTTACATACAATAACTAAAAATATAGTATGGTTTAACAAAAGCTTTCATTTCTGCTTTAACATAGTTGAAAGCATTGATCTTACAATGACAAAGAAAGAGTGTTAAATTTGTAAATTCATTATATCTAATTAATAAATTAAATTTGACTTCTGTACTTTTAGAAATATTTCAATTTATATTATTCAAAACTTCTATTTAATTGCAGACAATAAATAATCTTCCATTATCAAATCAATTCAAAATTGCTTATTATTTGAGGAATTAAGATTTATAAATTTAAAAATACATTACCAATTTATTTATTATTATACTACATCATTTGATAACTTTTACAACAGTTTTTCTATAATCGTCTGTTCGAAGCATTCAAAGTTTTTGTAATAATTAGTATTCGCAATTATTTCATTTTTCCTATCATTTTGCTAATATACATAATACAGATAAAAATAATAGCTTTATTTTTATAAGAAGACAAGTAGCCTAGCCTTTTGTTTTTTTCGTCTGAAGATGTCACATTCATCTTTCATATGTTCTTAAGAGTACTGTGTCATTTCATTTCATTGCAATACTGTATTCTATTTTTGCTTGGAAGCAAGCTCAGTAATATGCTTAGTATATCAAATTCTTATACATTTGAAATCAATAAGTTACCTAATTTAAGTTTCATATAATTCACATTTTCCTTTCAGCTGAAGATAAAACAGTTGAGTTTCCATGTTTTTAGTACTTTTCAAAATCTATATTCTTAATAAAAATCTCCTTTCATTATAAATGTGTTTCACTTTTAATACTTTATGATCATCCAGTTAGGATCCTGATAAACTATTTATATTGACACAAATAATGAAACTAAACAAAGCTCCAGAACTATAAAACAATTTATATTTTTCTATTTCCTAGCTTAAATATAATACAAATCTAAAACCCTGACTTCAAACATATTGGTAAGTTGATCACAGCAAATTAAGAATATGATTAGAGCAGTGGTTCCCAAACTTTTTTGGTTTGCAATGTCCTTGCTAAATGCAGGTTTTTCTCAAGGTGCCCTATGTCAAATTCTAACAAGTACAATTTGTGAAATAGCGAAATAGCCAATATTTTTTTAAATTAAACAGTTAGGATGTTAAGAAAAAAATAAATACAACACGTATTTAAGATAACAAAAAAATGTAATTGAACAAATTCAATTAATTAGAATTAGTGGGAGGAATGAGCCTGCTGATCATTGCACATTTTCTTAAATCTTGGAATCAAACTGGACACAGACACCTTCATTTCCTTCTCCGCATTGATTTTCATGCAATGCTTAGTTTTTATCGCAGTGACAAACTCAGCTTTTGCAAATGGAATTAATATTCTCTGAGCTTTACCACTCGGAAGGGATATTCATCTTTTACCGATATCCAAAATTCAGTTAATTCCATGTTACTAAATTTTGTTTTCAATGTATTGTCGGGAAGACAACTCAATAAGATTCTTTTCTTCTGCAGCAGTAAATTCAGTTAGAGCATTGATATTATGGATCATGAATCCATGCAAATTTATCAATATTATCATTTTGAAAATATTTTTCAAACCAGGTGATAAGCTGTGATAAATGCTGTTCAAAAATAGATTTCATACCTCGAGAGAAATCAACTCTATTAGAGGTCAAAAACTCTGTTGCAACAAAACAAGGGAAAACATTCTTTTCCTCTGTTTTCATTTATTTTTCTTTTCCATAGTTTGAATTTTTTCTATAAAAGCCAAAATTTTCTCAATCGACTTTAAAAGGTGCATGCTGCTTTCCTGCAGAGAGAGATTCAGAGCATTCAGCTTTCCAAAAATATCACATAAGTATGCTAGTTTTACCATAAAATCTTCATTCACAAAATTTTTGACATGCTTGTGGTCTTCTTCTTTAAGAAAAATACAAATTTCCTGTCACTGTTCAAACGTACGAGACAAAACATTACCTTGAAATCACTCTCTTGTGGTAATGTTTTGTACTTTTTCAAAGTGCTGTAGTACAACAAAGACGTGTGCTCAGATCCCATATCCTCAAATAGTTTTTTGAAAAATCTTGCCTTCAACATCCGATTTTCTATAAAGTTTACTACATTTATTATATATTCTAAAGCCTGGTTCAATGTACGACTCAGACATTTTGATGCGAGTGCTTCCCTGTGAATAATGCAATCAGTATAGCGCATCAGGTCTTTGCTTCAAAAAAGTGCTTGCAATCCTCCATAACACCTGGACATAGAACGAACACCATCAGTACAGATACTAATGCATTTGGTCCATTCTAAATTATTTTCAGATATAAAAATATCAAGGATCTTGAACAAGTTGTGAGCCTTAGCACCAGAGGTGATACTTTTACACCTCTTCTACAATGTTTTTACTATCTATAAACTGTACATAGCAAATCAAATGAACAACATTTATTATCCATAGCATCATCCAGCTGCAATCAAAGTTCCTTCCCTTTAAAAGATCTTTTGTCCAATAATACCATCAGTCACAGAATACAGCATAAGTGAAGGACCTCCAATGTCCAGTAATTGAAAGACTTTATTCTTTCAATTAACTGGACATTGGAGGTCCTTCGCTTATGCTATAATCTGTGACTGATGGTATTATTGGACAAAAGCATTTTTCAAAGCTGCTTCCCAGCGGACTCACCAATCATAATGTTCACCATATCTACAGCAGCCGGTAGATTGAGTTCTGCAATGGTATGAGGCTTTTTACATTTTGCAATTCTATGTGCCACCTTTATTACTGAGTTAATAATTTGCACCAGGTCTGCTAGATGTCTGTTTTATCACACTGAATTGAAAGTGGAAGTAAAATTATAAAAATTTTATAACATTTTGTGGCGCCCCTGTGGGGACGCTGTGGCTCCCTAGGGCACCATGGCACCACTTTGGGAACTGCTGCATTAGAGAGAGTCAAAATTTACTTGGAAGAAAACTTCAGTAATATGCTTAGTACATCAAATCTATTTTGAAGAACTGAAGAAAAATTAAGTATAGCAATTACCATGTTTTCTCAATTCTAATGCATCCTTACTTGTATTGTTTACTTCTCACTCTTCTTGGTATCTCATGTATATCATGTCATCAGTATAGACATGGTAATGTCCTCTCACTACTTCAGTTTTAATTTCAATTATGGTTTGGTGATCTTTAGAACTGTAGCAAGTCAACTGAATGTTCAGCAGACAGATCTCTATGAAGTTAAGTTTAAGCAGAAAGTTATCCACTTTGCTGAAGAACATGTTTTTAGATATATCAGTGCAATACTACATAGTATTTGGTAACTTTTATAATTGTGAATACTGACACAAAATATCACTTTAATAACAAGTAAAATACACCACAAATGGATATGAGTCCAATTTTGCCTGCCATGTCCAATCACCAGGAACAACTATTTCCATTGAAATAGTTCCATTGAATTGTCTCTGCAATGGAAATAGTTCTTCCTGGTGATTGGACATGGCAAGCAAAATTCGGCTCGTATCCATTTGTGATGTATTTTACTTTTTATTAAATTGTAATTCTGCCAGCCCTTTTCTACAACAAAATATCACTGTTAAAATATTAACTTTGTGGTAATTATGACTGATTTCATTAGTCCACAAATCTTCTATATCTGTTAATGGAGTCATAAATGAATATACTTGGAAATATAAACATTGTAAAACACTATAAATGTGACAAAAAATTTTTTGCAAACAGCAATAAACACATTTTTGATTCATTAACTTCCTGTGACTGCTAGCTTGATGATACAGAAAGTATATAACATCTGCAAGATAACTTTTTGAGTTTTGATTTCTCAAAAATTAGGTCTGCTTTAGATTTGATGGTGCATTAGAGTTGAGAAAACAAAGT